AGCGTCAAAATCTTTCTTTGTTATGACTGTTAGAGATGCTCCAGTGTCAAGTTGGAAGCTGATGCTCTTACCGTTGATATTAACTAGTACATTGATGGGAGCATGACTTATTGATTTTACAGAGAACAGGCTGAAATCCGGCTGCGAATCAGTTTGAGCATTTTCACCGGTAGAGTGGTTCATTGGTTGGGTTAGGTAGTCTTGGTGAGAGTTAACATAGTGCTGCTTTTGGTTGCGGTACTGTCTTGACTGGCTAGATTTAGCAACAGACGAAGACTTTGCAAAGCAGGCCTTGGCAATGTGACCTTGCTTACCGCACTTATAACAAGTTGCAGACTTGAACTTGCATCGATGAGATGCATGGGGACCTTTGCATCGATGACATTTTTGATAATTATTACTAGATTTAGATCTAGGATTTGAACGAGCAGGCTGTTTAGCATAAGTTGGAATGCTCTGATGGGGTTGATGTTTATTGACTAACCTGCTGTTTACTGCATGGATCTCTGAAGGTGCTAAAGATCTCGCCGCATCTGATGACTGCTGAAATGAAGTTGCAAGTTGTATTGCTTTTTCCAATGTTAGATCTGACTCGAGCAGCAACTTTCTTTGAACATCAGGGCTGTTTACACCTGTCACAAACTTTTCACATAGTCTGTCAGACAGCGTGTCCAGAGTTTCTTCCAGGCATCTCTTCGGGGGGGGCGAAGCCCCCCCGAAAAATTTTTACCGCCCCCCCCGAACGAGATGAAATTTGTATCATTTATATAGAAAATATATACTTTTAACAGTGTCCGCCCCCCCGAAGAAAGTTTACCGCCCCCCCCCGAAGATTTCAAGAGCCCCCCCCCGGAGAAAAAAGTCTGGAAGAAACACTGAGCGTGTCTCCGAATTCACAAAATTCACTTAAATGACGTAAAGCAGCAACATATTCTGATATTGACTCGTTTGGTTGACGAGTCCTACTGTCAAATCTAGCTCGACATAGAAACTTTGATGGGGTAGGCGCATGGTGGTCTGTTAGCAATTTGCTCAGCTCGTTAAAGCTCTTGGTAGTTAGACTAGCTGGTGCGCATAAGTCCTTTAGTAGCCTAAATTGCTGAGGCCCTATGACTGTTAACAAAACAGCTCTCTTTTTGGCTTCTATCGTCACGTTGTTTGCTTCAAGGTAAAAGCTTAACCTATCTAGGTAATCTTGAATGATTTCATCATTCGAATCAAATTCTTTTATTTGGCCATACAGCGCCATTATTCTAGAAATACTTAGCTAATAAGCTCTAGCAAACCTCTTTTTTGCGTAAGTAGGTGCTCTTTCTAGTAGATGTTTATCCTTCGTCGCCAATGTGATAGATTGACGATAGAAGCATGTGGTTGTATATAAAACGTTTATTGGGTCTAACTACATGGTGATAACCAGAGAGAGGCGGAAATGACGAGAGACAACTATTTATATATATGTAAGGGACATCACTCAAGATAACAATATAAATATAATACTAATACAGAAGAGTGAGTTCCCTTGACCTCACAATTATCTCAATCTATTACAAATGTCTCAGAAATGAGGAATCCGGGAGCATGACATGTCGGCACCTTTTGCTGTGTTTGAGGTCTAAGATGTGTTTCGATAGAAAATCCAGTAAAAATCGTACTCAAAATATACTTTTGTGTTGGGTTTATGTGTGAAAATTACAAAACAATGATTGTTATAATGATTGCCATGTTATTATTTAATAACTTGTAGCTTTTTTTCCTGTTTTGTAATTTTTTTTATTTTTGGAAAAAATGTCCTACATTCCTGACGGTACTTATAAGTACCAATACAAGTTTGGGCCCTTAAAAATTTATGAAACAAAATTTCCTTCCACATATGCTTTAAATGTGCCAAAAGCAATATGATAACACACTATTTAAGAAAAAATGTCATTCGGAACCTAATTCCGTAAATAAAGGGTTAAAGAAAGATTTACACATGGTGTCGTAGTTGGTATTTGTGTAGCCGCATGTATATGTATGTGCGTGTTGAAGGGTTTCACCTGATTTTGCGTTTGATTTATTTTGTATACCAAAAAGTGAGACAGTGTACATTTTTAGAGGTAGAAATGAGGCGAATCCACTATAGATCAACACATATCCAGAGCCATTATTTGTATAATTCTATTATAAAACTATATCAAAAACCTAAAATATTCCAATATGTTATCTTAAGATAAAACATACAGGTACTTTTAAAATCAAATATAACCAAATAGTGAAATAATTGTAAGCTTAATTTTTTTTAAAGTTGTAGACCAGTTTTAAAGGAGCCGACATGTGTGGTAAAAAATCAGAGAAGCCTATTATTTACAAACTATTTGGCGAAATGAATTGCAATGATTTCTTGAGACTTGAGCGATTGATGCTTTTTTTAGCGCAATTTCCATACTGGACAATTGCGATTATTAACTCGTCATTTCTGGATGGATGAATGGATGAATGAATGAATGGATGGATGTGGGTCCGCAGCTTTAAGTCGTATCTCCTCCTCAACGAAGCAATATCGAGGACTAGTTCCAAAGCAAATATGTTAAGCAAGTTCCAAGGATGATTGTGGGCCAAAAAAATTCCCGGAATTCCTTCCTGGATTTCCCGGAAAAGCCAAAAAACTCGAACAAATACAGTTTTTGATCCATATCTCGGCAACCAAACCACTTAGCGACTTGAAACATTTACCAATCGATTCCTGCCATAATTTAGACCAATATTGCCGAAGAAAGTTTTCAAAAATATCCTTTCGTTCGGTCACAAAAAATTAATTGCTACTTTTTTAAACTGAGCATCGTGTAGGCCTAGGATGATATTTTTTTTTTAAATGAGCATCGTGTAGGCCTACTCGTTAAAATAAAACTATTTCCGTTGATATAGGTTAATATAGTTGTTTTTTTTAGCGCAAAAAATATCCTTTCGTTCGGTCACAAAAAATTAAAAATTGTTATGGATAACATAAGGAAATTGCGCTTAAATTGTCACTAGACTTTTTATTAACTTGTTTTTTTTTTTTAATTTTTATTTTGAAAAATTATGTTCAGTGCAGTTTGAAGAAATTTTTTGTATGAACGTTTTAAAAATGATTTTATTTTCTTCATCAAGGTCTTTTTTTTTCTTTTTTAAATTCAAGCTCTTTGTTTCGTCTGCTCATTGTCACATATCGTCAAACACCTAAACCTTTAATGATGTCAGAATTTAGCAAATCCCCTCGATCCCTATGTTTTTAGATTAATTCGTCCTATTCCTTTAAAAAGATAGTAATATTAATTGACGTTGAACGGCAAAATTAAAACTATATAAAATTTAGGTTCCACCGAGATTTGAACTCGGATCGCTGGATTCAGAGTCCAGAGTGCTAACCATTACACCATGGAACCAGTGATACACATGTTATAAGACTATATTCAACTATATTAACATAATTATTAATAATTTTAAAAAAATCAGAAATATTAGACTATTTTCATAACATAGATCAGGAAAGTCCATATATAAGCAGTCTAGTAAGCTAAATAACATATGGTAGATGGCAGGCGTTAAACATTTATTAGTTTTATATCAGAGGCGTAGCGACCCTTCCCGGCGCCCGGGGACATACTTTCAATTTGGCGCCCCCTTGGGAACAAATTTTCGATTTGCACTCCCCCCTCGAACTTTTCATTTGCACCCCCCCCTCAAACTTTCGATTTGCACCCCCCCTCGAACTTTTCATTTGCACCCCCCCCCTCAAACTTTCAATTTGGCGCCCCCCCTAAGGTCCGCGCCCGGGGACATATGTCCCTCCCCCGCCCCCCCCCCCTCGCTACGCTACTGTTTTATATATAAGGACACGGCTTACGGGCCAGCAAGGCTGCGGTTATCTCGGCTAAATCAGTATCGGTCATGATATATGGTATGGCAGAGGGGGGACGGGCATATATCCCCGGGCGCCGACCTTAAGGGGGCGCCAAAATGGGTTTGAAAAACAAAATGAAAGTTTGTGGGGGGTTTGCAAATAAAAAGTCGTCAAACTTTCTGACCCTCCCCCTGGCCTTGTCACACATTGTCGCAAAAATCCGCCCCGCCCCCCCCCCCCTCCATTAAAAGTGTAACGTCTTTTATGAACTACCCCTAAACCATTGTAGTTGAACCTATTTTCTAAATGTCTATTATAAAAGTCTACTTGAGAATGAAATACGAAAATGAATTGGTTAGGCATACATCATTATTTTTGAAGGTCGGTTCTCAGAAAGCCACAACTCGTATCATTTACAATAATCAATAATGTAACACTCATACTCGTACGTGCGCTGGATCGAACTCGTCGCAACATACCTACTTTGCCATTTTGTGACTTCTATATAGAAATTATATTAGTAAAACTTCGAACAAATGGACCCATATATTATAGTTACACACTGTAATACCTTTCCAGATCCCCGTATATCCTATACGGATTTAGTTCTAGTCACAGATGGGAACGTCATTAAAAGCATATTGGCCTATAAGTAGAGGCCTTATTTTAAAACCCAGGCTGAGTCACATAGTTAATTTGTAGATTCACAAGCTTACATTAGTTTTTTTTTTTAAAATAATATATAGATCTATATATTTTATAAATATTGATAATGTGAATTCTTTTATGGGTGTGGTTGTGCGGGGGGGGGGGGGGGGGGTCTTTTTACTATGAAAAACGTCATCATACTTTATTGCCTTTATGGCTTGGTTTTCGGCATATTAATATTATTATTATTGATTTTCTGGTAGCCTAGTTAACAATGGCCATGGAGGAGCTCATGTGCTTTTTATAAAATTATATTGAATCAGCATGGCGAATGGAAACATCTTGCATTTAAAGTCATTCATACATTAAAAACAGGGCCTATTTTTTTTTAATAAAAAATCTATTTGTGGGAACCGTGGCAGTTTTATATCTAGAAGTGAACCAATACACTGAATTAATTTTCACTTTAAAAGAGTTCACTAGCAGTATGCAAACAATATGGCCGACCAAGTTAGTAATACGACCACTACTGCTACTAGTAGTGCAACCAAAGAAATCACACAGTACTTAAATGTTAACAATGCTAAACTTGTTGCACTTGCGATGGTTTTCGCATTTATCCTATACCACAGTACTCTACATTTTAAATACGGTATGTTGATTGATACAAGGCTAAATAAAAAATAGTTTCAAAGATTCAAAAAAAATTTTAGAAAATGAAAAGCGACTAATTTTGAAAATTAATAAATAAAATTTATTAAACATTTCGTAGTTTGTAGGCCTAATTTTTTGTGAACAATTTTTTAAAGTGAGTTTTAGTTTAGTTTTTTTTAAAATTTAAACTAAATAAACTAGAATTATTAATTAGATCCCTATGTAGAAAGATTTAAAATTTAAGTTTGATTTAAGTATTTTAAGTTAACTGTTAACCGTAACTCACTAACTGTGGTAACAGTTACCCGAAATTCTTTCAGAATCTTCAGTTTAGTCTTCTTATAGTCTTGCCTATTGTAGTCTATTAGTCACAAGTCTAGATCTTGATTGAGTTTCAAGTTTTATTAAACTTAAACTAAGTGCCTAACTACTCGGAAGAAACTTCTTCCTCCAGCGCTAGTCTGGCTTGTAGAGAAGATGCAAAACACAATAACCTCAATAGCTGCACAATGGGCTCAGATTACCCGTAACACTTTAAATAGCTGTGCAAATGTATGTCAACTTTCAATTTTATTGTTTTATATCCATCCTCATTCTGGAAGTGCTTGTAAAAATGGCTTACTTTGATACATTATTTCTTCAAGTTACAGGTATTTGATGATTGAAGTTGAAGTTAACTGAGGATTATTTTATATTTCTTGGTTAATTACTGTCAGTCTACTATAATAATATATTCAGTTAATCAAGACCTAGAGTCATGTGTATATGACCTTATTTCTTGTTGTTGAGCTACAGTGTGAAAGTTTGTCAAAAATTGTTTCTGCTCCAGGGCAATATATAAAAGTAATTGGATTTTGAGTGAACTAGATTTTTACTAAGTATTAATAATGTATGACCTGCTTTGCATCATTTCGTCAGTAAAACCAACATAAGAGTAGTACATACTTGTTACATCTCTAGTATTATTTTTATTTGAGACTGTTAAAAAATGAATGCCTTATCACTCTATGCCAGAAAAAATGTATAACTTTTTTGTTTTTAATTAAAAACTATAGTTACAGGCTTTTGTAGACAACTTTTAAATTCTCCTTAAAAACTGAACCGCTTTCTCAGATTTGAGCATTATAAGTCTCCATCTCAGTGTCAAGGCACAAACATACATTACTACTGTTAAGACTACAAAGAATTTTAATAAAATTTTGATAAAATAAAATATATTTATTCAATATAAATAAAACAAACACAAAATACATTGAGTAAAAATGAACACAGTAATCCATAACTAAAAATTGAGCTGGGTTAACTTAATTCTTCCTTGTATTAACAATCAGAATGAACAGTTTGTTTTCATAAATTTTGTACAAAAAAATCTTCATTTGCTGATAAATATTTAAGTGTTAGCTATTAAGTTTATTTATCTTCTCTGCTCTCTACAGGTAATGATTCTTGTAAGTGGCTTATGAGTGAAGGAAGATTCCCTGGTAGTGACAGCTGGCAGCCGTATGGATGTATGATGCATAAATACAGTAAAGCGTAAGCTTAAATTTAAAAAAATCTTATGTAACACGTTTATTTATTTTCTGAAATTTACTACACAGCTCGTGAATTCCAAAAATAAATAAACTTTTAGAGGATCGACATGGTCAGATGGTAATCTGAAAGTCTTTAGTTTGTACAACATCCCTGTGCTCACCCAGCTCTGATGGGTACCTGATTCAATTTAGGGAAAGTAAATGTGACTGGGCATGGTACAGACCACACTATTCCTTCATATGCAGAGGTCACACAAATAAGTGAACTCTACTTCACTTGCTTCCTGGAGTGTAAGGTTCAAAAGTGTACTTTACTTATAAAAAAATTCTGCATTTAATTGTAAAAAAAAAAAAAAAAAAAACTATATCTTTATGTTATCTAATTTTTTTCCTTTTCCACAGAGATGCTAGGACCTGTATGCATTATGTATCATACTGGGGTGGGCATAATCACATAGCTTTCATAGGAGATTCAAGAATACGGCAGCTTTATCATGAAATGGTTGATCTAATTAGCGAAGGTGGAGAAGAAATCACTGACACAAAAGTACATCATGATATGCATTACCGGGATAACAAAATCAATATAAAAATTGTAAGATTTGTGATTTATTTTACTTAGCATTTAAAATTATTTGTAAATCATATAACATGTGCTTACTTAAAACAAAATAACCTAACTTAAAAATCATTTTAAAATGTTTTTATATATGAAATTATTTGAGTTTATAATAAATAACAGGCATCAAAGCAAAATTATGTATTTTAAAAACAGCAAAAAAACTTTATAAATAGAAAGTATTTGCTGTACTAAAATCTTGCTGATGATTTTAGAATTTAGTGCATGTTTTTATTTCCTGCAGGATTTTTTATGGCACCCAATGGTGAATGCTTCAATGTATGATGTTTATCACAAGTGGTTGAAAAGTGACCAGCCAGGGGCAAGGCCCAATGTAGTGATCACAGGCAGTGCCACTGTAAGCTACATCTATATTTTTGTGTTTGATTGGTTAGGATTGAACTCTTTGTTTTTTTGTTATCTAAAGTTGAGACCCTCTGTCAAGTTTTGTGTGATTTTGCAATTTAGGGTAATTTTTTAGTCTTAAGCGAACTCTGATGTACATTGAAATTACTGGCTTAAGCAATGCTCATGAGTCAGACAGCTATACCAGGATGAAGAGCATTTTTCTCTTCCATGGACAGCCGCTAGACCTGTAGGTTTCGGCCAGACTTTAGCTTCCTCCCCTAGTGGGTCTCACAAACTGGTTTGGATGTGAAGGGCAGTATGATCATGGGACAACCTGTGGTCCCAAGTCTGGGTTTTGAACTCATAGCTCTCGAGTTAGTGAGCACACCATCTAATGTAGATCATAGTGTGCCCTCTAGTTTCCAAGTACCACATCTATACATTCTTTTTAAAAAAAAAACAATGTGAAATATTTCCCAATAATTTATTTATCACATTTGTACTAAGATTTCTAAAAAAGTTTGCAGCTTTATTTTTTTAAATACTATTTATTTTAAATTAAAAGGTCCTGCTTTTCATAAGTTATTTAGACAGAATTTTAAGATAAAATACATTACAGTATATTTATTAATTTACAAGTAATTAGAAATAACTAAAACCCCTACCTGAATTTTAAAATTTCTTTCTAAATAATCAGAGATGCTTTTATGGTTTGTTGAGGAAAACAATGCAAGAATACTTGCTATTCCAGTTCTGGGTGCTTGCTATATTAGAGTATATAGAAAGTTTATATTTGTTACACTGTTTAAATTGGTTTACATCAAATGATTTCCATCTAGTTGGTGGCTCACAAAAGCACAAATACATTTTAGCGACCAACTAACTATTATATCAAAAGAAGTAAAAGTCCATTTTATTTTCTTTAGTTTTATTGCTTTAAAAACTTACTATAAATGATTTTTTAAAATGTGTGTATTACTCTCGAAAGACTGGTGAAAGTTTGTTGTTGTTGTTATAGTGGGCCATAAAGCTATTCAATGGAAGCACGTTGGCATCAAAAAACTTTCAATGTAAGTACATACATTTGCATTTGAGGAAAATGTATTCGTAGAATATCAATGTTCAAACTGCTAATTTACTCCACTTGAAGAAAGATGATAGAAATCACAGACTGAGTGTATGTTTGAATCACAATAAAAAAAAATTATTATAAGAAAAATCACTCTAAATTTTTCGTTGTAAATGGTTTGTAACAGTTGAAATGACTTTCAATACCAAGGGAGATAATTAGTGGTTGCCTATTATTCTGGTTATTTAATTTCATTGTGTACTATTACATAGCAGCATAAAATGACTAATCCATGCTTTGAAATTATTAATCCTACCCCTAACTGTAACAAATGCAACATCTGATATGGTTTGTCTACAACAGAATTTTTTTTTCTCCAGCAAACTTGACTATGATCAAAGAGATGTATAACAAGCTCCAAGACTCCACTAAAGTTGTATGGATGCTGCAAGGTAAGATACTATGGTTTTTATTTTTCGTTGTGTGTGTGAGGCCAAACATATGATAGTCAACAAGGTTAGGTCATTCTCTTATATGTAGTATATGAGGATTATGGTATATTATTATGGGACAGCGTGGCTTAAGCGATAGAGCAATAGGCTGTTAACCCCGAAAGTCTCAAGTTCGAATCCGGGTCTAAGTCAGTATAACGTCCCTGAGTCCACTCAGCTCTGATGAGTACCTTACTCATATAGGGAAAGTAAAGGCAGCTGTGCAAAGTGCTGATCACACCTTCCCTTCATGTGCTGTGGTCAAGAAACATACGTACACTATTTCATCTGCCCAATGGATTGCTAGGTCTGAAGAGGATTCTTTATGGTATATTATTATGATGAATAAAATGAGACATGTTTCTGTAAATATGTTTGAAAGGAAATAACTTCTATTTTTATTATCCTTACACTGAGTAAACCAGTAGTGGTAGTGATGTTTCTTATTGCTAATTTAAATGTATGCTATATATTGACTTAATGATGTTAAGGTGTCTAATAAAGATTTCATGATATGTATAAATAACTTGAAAATAAAATTAAACTAATCCTTTCGTGACAATGTTTAATACAACATTTAAACAACGCTTAATATAATTACAGAGTAACAATTGAACTGTGAAAATGTAAATTCAAAAAGATATCTTAACCAAAACACAAACAAACTCACACACAAGTATTTCAAATAAAAAGTCATTAACTAATATATATATATAATGAGAATGAACATTTTGTAAGAAATTAGCATGCAAACATAAAGGTAAAAAAATATGTTAATTAATAGGCTGGACATGATTAGATAAATAAACTTCAAAAACAAGCAAAAATGTTGTATAGAATTATAACACTAAACATTCATGGTTTTAGTTATAGTGATTAGTTTTTAATGAAAATTAATTTAAAAAATTACCACTGATTTATCACTAATGCTGTGTTTATTTTTCTTCCCCTCTCGTTGCACTTCTGAATAATGTGTTGCATTAGCTAAAAATAGTATAGGCAATGAGTACATTAAAAGTATTTATTGGTTGTAGATCCAGCTGAAGAAGATAAGTTGTCTGAAAACAGGAAAATGATTACAAATGAACAGATTGACAAATATAATAAAATAGCGATTACAGTGCTGTGAGTATTGTTGCTCCTTTTAAATCAAGTAAACCTGTATTTTATTGTAGGAAAAGTAATTTGTATTATAAAAAAAATTATATTTTTGTATTATTGTAATTCTTTTCTAAAATATTGTCCAAAAGGCTTATTTTTTAATATATTATTCATGCATGTAATTTTTATTATTTAATAATGATGCAGACAAGACTCATCAGCTCACCTATGGAGCTCATCTCGCCTGGTAGCCCAAGGGTTAAAAAAGGAAGAGTTTTCTACAGATGGTCTGCACTTGCGTAAGAAAGCCCTTGAAATAGTAAGTTTTTTAAATACCTTACCAAGTTTTCTGTAAAAAAAAAACATATTCAACAGGAAATTTAAACATAGTGTTAGTAACCCTACAATTTAAAGATGATTATAAGTAGGCCTATATAAATTAGACATTTTGAACCAAGGTCTTATTAGCAAGCTTAATTAGAGACTTAACAAAAAGAAAAACAGTACATGGATTATCTGAAGGTTACAATATCAAAATGAAGAAATGCATGATGGAAAATTCTTCATCAATGTAATAGGGTGGACATTTGGTTCAGTGTGAGTTACTTGAAAGATACCAGTTTTGGTACAAAAATGTTGTGCACCTTTTTTTATGTGTCTGAAACTGTAGGACACCCAGATGTTGATAAACATGTACTGCATTAATGACAAGAATAGTAAATTAAATGAACAATTTTTATGTGTTTGGAACGCTTGGACACCCAAATGTTGATAAACATGTACTGCAATAATGACATGAATCATAAATTAAATGAACAATTTTTATGTGTTTGGAACGCTTGGACACCCAAATGTTGATAAACATGTACTGCAATAATGACATGAATCATAAATTAAATTTAAATGAACAATTTTTATGTGTCTGAAACTATAGGACACCCAAATGCTGATAAACATGTACTGCAATAATGACATGAATCATAAATTAAATGAACAATTTTTATGTGTCTGAAACTGTAGGACACCCAAATGCTGATAAACATGTACTGCAATAATGACATGAATCACAATGACGGCACTTGCTGTAACACACCTGAAAGGGCAACAACCCTGCAGATAATCACTGGAGTTGCTTTCATTGTCTGGTGAGTCTTTGTAATTTACACTCTATAAACCTGTTTATTTGGTATAGCTGACAAATAATAGCTTAGCCATAGGTGCTTTAAATAAAGATGTATCAGAAATGAGTCATTGGAGTTGGAATAAACTGTAATATTTAATTCTGTGAAAATGTTAATTTGATTCTATTTAGTAGCGCGAGTGAAAATTTCTAGTCATTTGTTTCTAATCTTGAAGTCAAATAAGAAAGTTGGTTTGAATATTTCAACAGATCAACTAACCTATTTAAAGGGAGGTAACCTGGGGTATTAAGGATACAAGATACTTTTGAATTTTTATTTTATGGTTGAGTAAAAATTAGTTACTAATTACTTGTTAGGTGATTGGAGTGCAGATTACTATACTATTTACTCAATAGTTTAGTTCTGCCAGTGCTACATATAATAGCTCATTATTTTTTAAATTTAAGACTCATAATTTTATATCTTTACTATAAAAGCTAGTTAGAACGTAATATCTGTCTGATTTGTTTCTTTAGTATGTGCATCAGTGGGGGTCTAATGCTGTACAGACGCAGAGTACCTAGAAATGGAAACAAAGCCAGAACTGGTAGGTGATAGTTTTTTAAATTAAAACTAAAAAGTAAAGTTTTCTTTTTGAACCTGATAGTCCATGGATGGGGCTATTAAAGTAGAGTTCACCTGTTTCTGTGAGCTTGGCATACTAAGGGATTGTGTGTTTAACACTATGCCCACCCATCTTTACTTTCCCTAATTTGAGTAGTACCCATCAGAGTTAGGTGGATTCAGGGACGGTCTACTAATTAGAACCCGGATTGAACTTGAGACTATCGGGTTAGCAATTTAATGTTCTAGCACTCTAATTAACTGGTAGATAATGTTTATTCTAACTTTTAATAACTTGTAGGTGATAATTCTTTTAATAAATGGTAGCTATACTGGTGTAAAATTGGCAAATGCTAACCTCAGTGCTAACTACTTAATAAGAGGTGGGTGATAATATGAATGCTAACTTTATAATAACTCGTATTTGATAATCAAAATGTTATGACTTTCAATAATTTTGGACTGCACCACATTTAATTATGTGTAAAAAAAATATTTTTTACAAATGTATACAAATTATACAGAAATAAAATACATAGAGTCATGTATTTATTGCTGTAGTTAAGTATTTCAGTACTGCCCTTTTTAGACTACAAAATATGATACTTAATTAAAATCACTTTTTTATTATACTGCAGCTGAAAATGGTCAACGGAATGGTACTAATGGCACACAGAAAGATTATAATGAAACATTCTGGGAGATCATAACGTCCCTGGCTAAAATGGGGCTGATCATGGCATACTTCTATCTGTGTGACAGGTAGGTTTAGATGGCACTTGTTGTTTAGACATACCCACTTTTTTGTTTAACATCAACAGCAATATACCTAATCACTAACCTTATTTATATGGATCAAAATACCAAAATCTGTGGAAACTGCTCTACAGAGAAATACGGTCATACCCACTTTTTTGTGTAGCTAGTTTTATCATCAGCAATATACCTAATCACTAACTCTACTCATATGGATCAAACTACCAATATCTATAGAAACTGCTTTACAGAGAAATGTGTGTATGGCTAAGTATCAAAACTAATTTAAACCAATAATGTCATCCACCTTTACCAAATTTAAAAAAAAAATCTTGAAACCAGAAATTACTTAATGATTGTGTGTTGTGGTCTGTTTCTGGTTAGCTTTTACTTGTCTACAAAATGTGTTTGCTAGTAGGATATTGTCTTATTATCTAAGTAATTTTGCTGGTTTTTTGAGTTTGTAGTTGAAGTGTGTATTATTTTGGAACCAATCAGGAACCAATCAGAATATAAATACTAAATTAGTCTATATTTCGGCTGTTATTCTGGTTTTTTTTTTTAGTTTTCTTAAAAACGTAAAATATGCGGCTCCCAAAATATACATACCACAACTCCTGATAATAAATAGTTATTTTGATAACAAAGGGAATTCTTATACATAAATTCCTACAATAGAACTTATGTTATACATGATTGAAATATGAAACATAGATGAAAAATGTAACATAATATTATAACGTATATTTTATGATTTAAAAAGCAAAAATCCTTGCTTTTCTAAAGTCTTAGAATTTGTCAAAACATTATCCTCTCTTCTTTTTCCTTCGTTAATTGTAATGTTGGATGGAATTTCCTCCTACACAATTAAGTATTACGTGTTAACATGTTAATTTTGTTATGCGCCATATACCTCGTTGACTCTGATTTTAGCCTGCTTTTCTTTCTGGATTTGCTTTCTATCCAAGAAAAAATTACACTGCGACAATTGTTTGATTCTGGAGTTTTTCTGTCCAAGATGGGTTGCTGTCCCAAGCTAAGAGCCTCACTTGCCAGGGGTCTGGACTTTTGGGTTACTGGTCCTGCATACTACTGCTCACTATGACACTCTCATTATAATAAATTAATAGAAAAAACACACTTTACCACATCCCCTTTGCAATTGCTTCTCTAAGTGACAGTCAAGTCAGGTGTCCTCTCTCAGAATTATGTGTATTTTTAGCGGTAGTTAAATTGAGATGAGAGTCTCCTGGCTCTTTAAAGTTTCTTTAATTTGGTACACTCTGTGAATATAAGTTCCAAAATGTCATTGATTTAATCTATTCTGTAGTTTTGGTAGATTTCTGTATGTCAGGTTTTAATTTCCTTAACTGTCCAAGTAGTTTGGCCACAACTGACTTTCTGGCCACATAGCATAGAAAGATGTTGAGCCCCTGAGAGCCGTTGGTCAGTATGAAGACAATCCACATGTAAGTCGTGTCCACGGCTACAGCCAGAAAGTAAAACACCCAGGTCAGGCCCATCATGAGGGACAAGTTAACACACAATATCAGCTGGGTTTTTTCTCTCTTGTGCTGCGAGTTTTTCTCTCGGAAATCTGAGCTTTGTCTGATGGCTTTGATGACTAAAATGGCACATGATGCAGTTATTAATAAAAGAAAAAACATGGGACTTACAAATACAACAATGGCCGTGTTATAATTACCAATCCAGCAAATTCCATTTATCCCATAATCAATCGCCACCGTTCCAGTTTTATGGAGTAAAAAACAAATTCCAGCTAACAAAGATGGCAGCCCCCAACAAAGAATAGAGAACAGATAAAATGTAGTTGGTTTAGATGGGTTAAACCAACGTTGTGACTTGATGTGTAGAACACAGGCCAGATGTAGGGACATGGCAGCCAGCCAGGCAAAGGACGCCAGCCATACAGCGTGGTGTAAGGCAGCGTAGATCTCACAGGCCAGGCCCTGGGGGTACGTGCAACACAGAAACATCGTCTGGGCCACAAGGAGAGCAGACGACATGGACATGACGATTTTCCCAGGCACGTTTCTCAGTTCTGGCACCAGCCCGTAGACGACAAGGACGATAACCAAACATGTCACTGAGACACCAAGGGCGATCACTGTAGCCAATTTCTCTTCTTCAGTTGTCGGTACAATTTTTTTGGGTAGTTTATTGTCAAATTGATCAGCACACACTTTGGCACCATTTTCAGTTAAAATGTAATCCCCCTTATTAATTGCAGATATAGTTTGGCGTTGGTGATTTAAAGTTGTCTGAAGTTCTTTTAAAGAAATGGCTCTATTTTGGTATTGTTGTAGATACAAGTTAATGTTACCTACAGTTTTTGTTACCAGAAGGTAATCCTGAAAAACCGTCATCTCCAAGTTGTTGACATAAATGTATGGGCATTTTAACATAGGCTGACTGCACCATCCCACTGTAGCTTTATCAATTGGCTGTTGTTTTAAATGAAAAGTTCCATTGAATTTGATATAAAAAATAAACTTTGCTAACTCTAAAGCTGTAATATTGAAGTCTACAAGAAAAGTTCCGTTTTGATGAGTAAAAATTGGCATTTCAGTAAAGACAAGTTTTCCACCGAAAGGACAAATTTTGTCTTCATCTGGTTTGGACTCGTTGACATTATTAGTCACTGTGACATTGGTAAGGAAAAAGTTATTTTGGTTTGCTATGGTATTGATTTTTGATAGGGATTGGGTCTTTATGACAGAGATCATATTAGTTGTTACACTTGATGAATGTAACTGGATGGTGACCAGTACACATACATCTGACCAGTGGTAATCATCCAACATCACCCAGCCAGTCTCTGGACATAAGCTTGTATTAACCTGCCGTATGGGCAAGTCAGAAAAAGTGTTTTCCATCACAGTTTTCAAATCACTCATTATTTGTAATGTCATCTCTGTTTCATTGATAGCTTTTGACGTCAGCATTGCTACCTTCCAGATACAAGTCAGATCTCGTAGAGAGAAGTAGAACTTTGACCGTAGCTTCTTACTTTTCTTAATTACAGTTTGCTGTATCTTTGTGCCTAGGCTAATAAATTGGTCTGTTTTGTTGAAAAAACAAAATTCATTGTTTTCATCATCGGTTTCTGTAAGAATATACTTCAACATGATGTTCAGTTCTATTTTGTTAGAAGGTTTAGGTAATGTCATATTGTACGCCTCCATGACAAGTGATATGTTTTTGTCACATGTTTTATTGTCACAAACATCTTCCATAATGCAGCTTTGACCAATGAGCTTTCTTCCCAGTGGACATGTGACGTCTAGACACTTCTGATAAAATGGTGCGAAAACTTGATTAGTTCCGCAGGTTTCAACTATATCAGAATAGGATTTAAGATCAAACAGATTTCTGAAGCTAAGAATCGGAGTTCCATAGTCTAGTGTCCAAGTTTGTTTTTCATGGTCGTAATCGGTTGAGGAACCAAAGACACATTTTCTTGAATGAGTTGGTGGTGTTACTCTCATCATACAAGTATTGTTGTAGCTGTTGGTGTTGTTGAATTGAAGTAAATTCAGCATTGCGGATTGTTTGTTGAAGCTGACGCTGCAGTTTGGACAATACAATCCTGCTTCCCATGGTGTAACAGATTCAGGTTCTAGCCCATTACATATAGCGCATAAAATGTTACGGAAATCTACTTTAGTACTACCTGTGTTTAAGGTTACAGGTATTCTGTAGAGTGTTGGATCCCGTGTTGTTGTAGTTTTGTGACATCGTGTGATGATGTCTTCTTGTGAGAGACCCAGAAACAAACTCCCGTTCTCCGAAGGCTGGTTGAGTTTGTTGTGTAGGTCTAAGAACTTGGCGCGTATGTCTTCTTCCTGGCTGCATTTGGTAACCATGGATACGTTGACCCATGACTCACAAGAGGTCAGCTGGTACCAGCGATACTCCTCATAGAATTGAACAAGCTGCGAGTAGGATTTGGTTTGAGTTAGGATTAAGGCTATGGCATCTGCTGTTCTTAGATTGACAAGAGGATTATTTGAACAGCAGTCGTAGTAAAACATACACATATTGTCAGAGTGGCAATATGTGTCCAAGTTATCAGAACTGTTTATCATATTGACCTTTATCCAGTCTTGACACTGAGAGGTGTTTTTATTGACTGGGGGTGGTGTAGTACCCAGGTTTGTATCATGTAATACATTCAGGTTTGTATCATGTAATACATTCATGTCTGTATCATGTAATATATCCAGGTCTGTATCTTGTAATCTAGTATCCAAATCTTTATCGTCTAACTTAGTATCCAGGTCTGTATCTTGTAATCTAGTATCCAAATCTTTATCATCTAACTTAGTACCCAGGTTTGTATCATGTAATATATCCAGCTCTGTATCATGTAATATATCCAGGTCTCTATCATGTGATGAAGTATCCAGGTCTTTGGTTGTATCCTGTATAGTAGTATCTAAGTCTTTGGGAGTTGTAGTATGTAATGTAGTACCCATGTCTGTATCATATAACATTGTGTCCTGGTGTTTATATGTTGCTTCAGTATCCTGTGTGGTCGTACCTGGTGTATCATTAAACGACCATTGCCGTGAAAAATTTAATTGCCCATCTCCAGTTTTATTTGATAAAAGTTCATGTGATTCCTTATTGGACGACGATTCTGGTTGAGTGGAAGAGATTTTATATAATTTAATATGTAATGTTTAACCCTTATGTATCGGGGAGCATTTAAAAACAGTGTCTATACACTCGTTGTATGTTCGAGAGCGCGGACACAATAAAACTTTGTCTTAAATTATTTCATTTGTATTCTACACTTTCAAAGCTTTACAATTCTTTGATTGAATAAAGCGGGGGTGATCTCCCCTAAACTTTCTCGCATATTCTTATATAACAGAAATATGCACGGCACTTTCAGTCCGACCGGCCTTTAGAAATGAGTTTTTAATTATTTTTTTAATGCTTACATTCTAAAGATAGAATAGAATAAAGTAGAAACAAAA